AGAGAGAGAGAGAGAGAGAGAGAGAGAGAGAGAGAGAGAGAGGATATACAGATTGAATTATCCCTTATCTGAAATGCTAGGAACCAGCAGTGTTTCTGATTTTTGTTTCTGGATTTGGGAATATTTGTGCATAAGTAATATCTTGGCCTGGGACCCAAGTCTAAACATGTGTTTTTATTTTGTGTAGATGGATGTACACATGATTTTATACAGTGTTTTTCCTGCACTTGTATTTTGACTGAAACCTATCCAAACATGATGTCAGATGTGGATACTAACACACTAGTGACATGTTAATGCCTAGAACATTTGGAATTTTGGAGCATTTCAGATTTTTCGTTGAGGTGCCTAACCTGCCTAGGTCCTGTAACCAGCGAGTAATAGTTCCACTATAAGTGTAATCTACCCTCACCACCCCACTTTTTTGTTCTGGCTCTCAGTTTTAGTCAGGGTCTCCCGAGTAGCCCTGGTTTGCCTACAACCAGGATCCTCCTGCCTCAGCCTCAGCCGCAGGACTCTGACTCTTTTATGGACTCCTGCTTTGAAGTACTTTGAGGTGGTCTCCTGTTGTGAGGAGGTATGCAACTGCTTTAGGAGACTGTCCACCCCAGCCTCATTCCTTAGTGATTGTGGAGAAGGTGGGGTGTAGCTATTACAGTAAGGGAACTTATTCAGTAGCTGAGCTAATCATTTGCTTTTCCAGAAACTTTACTTTGTTCATGTTTCTCTTATAACTCCTGAACCCTGGGTGTTAAGCAGTATTGGGATGAATTTATGTGTATAATATATGACCACTAAGTGAGACCATGAACTAGAGAGCTACAGACACTTAATTCACTAACTTTTTCTACAGACTTTTCTTTAATTAGAAGTTGAAGTTAACTTTCTCCTTTTCTTCTTGTCTGATAGATTTGATTATCCTCTGAACAAGGCTTGGTACTTTCTAGTAGCTTGGCCTTTGAGAGGACTCATCTTGTTTTTATCCTGTTAGTCATACATGCCCCACAGCTTTTGTCAGCAAGGATTACAGGTGCCGTGACACATGCAGCTTGTTTGTCAAGTTTAAAATGGTAATTGGAACAAAACTTAAACTTGGTAATAACCTAAGAAATCCTTTGGATTAAAAAAAATACTGGTCTTCATCAGTGTAGTGCCTACCTTGGAAATGGAAATGCTATAGAGTTTTATATCAAGGGGACATTGTCACCAATGCGTCAAAACTAATACAAACGAGGGCTGGAGAGATGGTTCAGCGGATAAAAACACCAACTGTTCTTGCAGAAGACAGGATTCAAATCCCAGCATCCACATGGCAGCTAACAACTGTCCGTAACTCCAGTTCCAGGGTATCCAACAGTCTTCTGACCTCTGTGGGCATTGCACAACACGGGTGCACCTACCTACATGCAGGCAATACATGCATACACATAAAAATAAAACGTTTTTTAAAAAACTAATACAAACTAGACGTTAAAAAATAGATCACTGAAAATGGCAGCAAAGCGTGGGCAATAAAAACAGCTGTTTTATTTTTTCTCTATCACAGAAGCTTAATCTTAAGCCATCTTTCATTATAGTGTAATTCACAGTAAAATATACAATAGTTCTGGAGATGTAGTTAGGCAGATCACTTAGCAACCACAGTGAATTCCTAGATTCTACCCCTAGCATTACAGCAAAATAACCCCCCACTACCACCACTGCCTCTGTCTCCCTGCACCCTCCCTACTTCCCTTTCTCTGTACAAGGTCAGCCCACTGTAAGCCTCAGTAGTTTGATGCTGCCCCCTAGTGTTTGATTTACCTTGAAGTTGTCTTGGCACCTGTCCCTAATAAGAGTAGCTTTGGATTTCCTGTAGCTGATTACTGCTGCCAAAAGAAATGGACTAGTTTGGTTTTAATTGATTGTGATTACTTTTAGTCCTAAGTTTTCCAATTAAAGCAACATTTTTGGGTAGACATAGAACTGCATTAATAACCTTGTAAAAGGATCTGTAGTTTTTTTTTTCAAAATGAGAAAGCAATATGTTTGAAATTAGCTTTGTATATGAATAATAGCAATATTGTTTATTTAATCTGGGCTTCTGAAAAAAGGTATTACAAAATCTTTCTGGCTTAATTTTGTCCTGTGTAACTTTGTATTGTTTCTACTGTACTGGTAATAAAATATGAAAATGTCAAATGCATATAGTGAACTTGTTTTAAAATTTAAGTTTATTTTGAGCTATGACTAAATTATTTTTGAATAAAAAAAGTTTTTAGATTTTTTTTAATACCACAAAGTTTCCTAGTCATTTTTGTAAACTCTAAGGCTTCAGATTATACCAATTAACATTTTCAAACTTTTATTTTTTTCAGATATGTGGGCAGACCACATAGCCACCTTTAGATTTTCTAAAATAACCAAATACTTTCATTCTCAGTAAAAAAAATTACTGGAATATTTAAAAATGTGTTCAGTAGGTGTGAAGCATTTTACAACTGAAATCGTAAAGTTTTCAGTAACAGTACAGTAACAGTAGGAGTACCGAAATTATCTGCAATTCACTACTTAGGTCACCCCTTAATATTTAAAAATGTTAGAACATGGTAATTTATCACCTAACAGGGTAGAATGTTATTTTCCTGTTTTTTAAAAAATTAGAATGTGGGGCTGGAGAGATGGCTCAGTGGTTAAGAGTACTAGGTGCTCTTGCAGAGGATGCGGGTGCCTGTTCCCAGCATCCACATGGCGGCTAGCAACTGTAGCTCCAGTTCTAGGGGATCCAGAGCCCTCTTCTGACCTCTGTGGGCATTGCTCAACATGGGTACACTTATACACCTACAGGCAATACACTCATATGCATAAGATAAAAATAATATTTTAAGGAATTAGAATATACATAGGATAACGGGCTGCCCAGATACAATGATTAGATGCTTAATAGGATGCTAGTGGTGGTTGTGTGCAAGTGTGAAGATAACATCTTATTCAAGGAAGTTTTATTTTTACCATCTAATAGTTAATGGTAGATGATTTTATAATGACCTGCTTTTATAATTTTATAATCTTTTCAGAAGCTATCTTGCTACTGAAAGAGAGGGAAGTGTCAGTTACTACTGGTCCTTACAGTGTCATCATTAACCTGAATTCTACTTCTGGGGATACCCATCTCATCCAGAAAAGGCTCTTAGGATAGGAAGTGAATCAGAATGCTGTAGGAAGTGGCCCCGGCTTCCCAATATACTAACCTAGCAGACTTTCTTAGGACCAGAAGCATGTTGCCAGAACTGCTATGAACTATGAAAAGGTCAGTTTTTAATCCTTTTTGTTCTCTTAAGACGTCAGTGATCGCTTTAGGATTTAGTTTTATTTCTATGAAGTATAAGAGTTACAAAATCTCAGCTGTAGCAAGGAAATAAAGATTTATATCCTACTGTGCTGTGTGATGTCTCTAACGAAGCCATTTCAGATGTGACTTCACAAATCTGTGAATTCATCATTACATAATTTGTGAATGTTTGAATTTTGAAATAACATTTTTCCCCCAAATTAGTCTGTTGAGGTGTTTGTTTTTATGTAGACTAAATTGGCATAGCAAACTGTAGCCCATGGGACCAATCTTTTTAAAAAAATATTTTTATTTTATGTATATGAGTGTATTGCCTGCATGTATACATGCTGTGCAGGGCCCAGAGATGCCTGAAGAGGGTGTTCGTTCACCTTTAACTGGAGTTGCAGATAGTTATTAACTGCCATGTGGGTGCTGGGAATTGAACCCAGCTCCTCTGCAAGAGCAGCCAGTGCTCTTAACTGCTGAGCCATCTCTCCAGCCCCTTGAACCAATCTTGTTTTCATGTTGTGTTACTGGAACATGGGTACTTCATTTCTGAATCATCCACAGCTTCTTGCTTCTGTGCTACTTTAGAATTTAGTAAGACGGGGTGGAGACTAGGCCCACAAACTCTAGTTTTACTCTGACCACTTCAGGACTGCTAACCCTTGGATAAACTTTTAATAATCTGTTGTTACATGTTGCTTTTATTTTAGGTATTTCCTAGAACCTGTAAGTAAAATGCTTGAGTTGTAAAGTGCTCATTCAGATGATAACTCATAGGTAATTGAGTTCTTAGGTTTTTTTTTTTAATTTTTATTTTATGTGTATAAATGTTTTGCCTGCAAGTATGTAAATATGCCATATGCATGCAATACCCACAGAAGCCAGAAGAGGGCATCAGATTCCCTTGGAACTGGAGTGGGGGTGTTGCAAGAACAGCCAGTATTCTCAACCTCTGGAGCCATCCCTTCAGCTGGGAGTTCTCAATTGTTAACATAAATAGTGGAGAAGCGTTTCCATCTCCCCCTTTCCAGTTTCCTGCTGCTGCAGAAATAGCACCTTTATTGTGCTTGGTGGTAGGAAGTAAATGTGAAGCCCTGGAGTCCTTGGGTGGCTCCCACCTACCACAGTCCTACCTCTGTCTGCTACTTTAGTGTCTCCAGTTTAGCATCTGTAATTGAAGAGGTGATCCTGTCTTCATTGTAACTCCTTCAGAACAGCATATATCATCTTTATTTTTATGCCTTTTGGTCTCTGTCCTCTTTTCTGTTTTCTCTCCCTTCATTAAGCTGATGAACACATAACCTGGCCTGTTAGAGCTACATGCTCACCACTGAAGATGCTGTGACGAAGGATACCGTGCACTGTGTTGTGCAGGAACATAGCCTCCTCATGCAAGGGGTGTGCAAAAATCCGTTCAGATGCCATTATCAAGTGGAATAATTCATGATTTCTTAATATGTTATAAAATGGGACTCATAAAACAATAT